TTTTATATTTGATGTCCTGGGTTCATATAAGTAATTCTCATTAGTGAAAACTTCTTTAGGACTAGTAGATTTGATGGAAGACATACTGTCTTGGTCATTCATATTGATTTTATTTTTGCAATTAGACCTTGACATGGGGACTTCTCTCTTTGATTGTATTTGATGTGATAATTTGACCTTCATTAGATCAGGCCAGTTAAACTGGTGGGTGAATTTTAATTCTACTAGAGAAAGATCATTCCCAAACAATTTATTTGGAACTAGGCCCATAGATGCAGAAATGGCAGCAGGCAGAGGGAAGGATGGGAGAACAAAGAATCATCTCTCCAGTCAAAAATGGTATGGTGGTGTGAAGGAAAGTGGGCCCCAAAGGGAATGGCACCATTAGGAGGTGTGGCTTTATTGGAGTAGACAGGACCTTGTTGGAGGAAGTGTGTCACTGTGGAGGCGAGCTTTGAGGTTTCATATATGCTCAGTCCATGCCCAATTTCTGAGCACCAAGGTTTACTGCCTGTAAACCAAGATGTAAGAAAACAACTCTCAGCTCCTTCTCCAGCACCATGTCTGCCTCCATGCTGTCTTGCTTCCTGCCATGATGATAATGAACTAAACCTCTGAAACTGTTAGCCTGCCCCATTAAATGTTTTCCTTTATATGAGTTGCTGTGGTCATGGTGTCTCTTCACAGCAATAGAAATCCTAATTAAGACAAATGGTTCTCAAAGAAAGCAGATTCAAAGGCTACTTATCTGGAGCTAGGCCTGTGGGTTTAGAGATAGCTATGGGGGACGGGGATGAGGCAAGGGATGGGAAAGGAAGGAAGCTGCTTACCCAGGAAGGATTTATCAGGAACAAGGAGGGTTAATGAGCCATCCTCTGACACTAGGCTTTTGTATTTGTTGATAATGGCAAGTGGGGGGAAGAAATGGTGACTTTTCAGACAAAAGTGGTTCCCAAATGAATAAGATTTAAGGCTTCAGATCTGGAAATGGACTTGTAAGTTTACGGATGGTTATGGGTTATGGAATGGTACGGAAAAGGAATAAGTGACCCACCCAGGGAAGGGTGCTGGCAAACACAGAAGGTTCTAGGGCTTTGAAACTGCAACTAGGCTTGTGCGTTTGCATATGACAGCAGGTTGGAGATAGCTATCTTAACTCTCTTACATTCTTTTCACTCCTTCGTCCCTTTCCTCAGAACCAGTAAGGGAATTATATATGTTTATGTCTCATTTAGAGCTAAATATTCAATAGTCAACTTATTCTCAGCACTTTGACCAATCTGAGTCTATACGGTAACTGCTAGCTGCTTCAGAATTAAGCTTCCCTGGCTAAGGATCATCGCAACAAAATCTATGAGAAAAAGTGTAAATGTTTAGAAGGCAACTTAGTAGATACAGAATACCTATTGAGCAAAGCAGCTTCCCTACTAGGGCCTATGATCTCCTCACCCATGAGTTTTTGACTGTGTTTATAATACCAGATTGACATTCTCTTGTTTGGAGAAGGCCTTAAATCTAAACAGTCATTCCACTATTGCGGCAGTGGGCATATCTTGCCTGGCATGTTGGTGATATAACAGGCAGAGTCCACAGCTATGTAGGAGTGTTGGTAACTTTTCCTCCCCAACAGCCTACATAGTATCTCCTAACACTATGAAAACTAGCCAACAAATAGGAAGCTTCCAGCTCCCTTCCAGCTTGATTTCTTCATGTCCTTAAACCAAGGTGTCTTCAACCATGAAGTGTTACAACCTAGCTCTGATGGGCAGTCAGCAACAATATTAGTAGCCTATATTGTTTCAGGGGCCTCAGAATCTCCCCTAGATAATAACTCAAAGGGAAGTAGTCCGTCCCTGGTAATAGAATTTTCATCCAATAACCATACGGCTTCTGGGAGCATTGTTTCCTACCCATGCAGGGCACCTTTATCCACCCTCTCAAACTGTCATTTTAACGCTTATAGGCACGGCTATTAGGAATTTTTCTCATTCACCTTGGTGCGTATCTCCTGTGCCCTTTATGAACCGCTCTTCTCTCCTTCCTCCTTCAGGTGTGCTTTAACGGCTTTCAGAGTGCTTTTCTAAATCCACAAAACTCTGTGCTTAGCATTATAGCGTCTACAACCCAGAACTGTCTTGCAAAGTGTGAGCAAGGTCTTTGAAGGCCCACCACCTACCATTCCAAACAAAGGCCCATTTATTTCAGAAGTGAGAAGTTAAGGCAAAAGTGAAGAAAGTCGATATAGCAGGAAAGGGTTCCATCACATCTGTCAATTGTTCCCTAAAGCAATTGAGATACTGCGGCACAGATGGGAGGCACTACTTCCATCAGCCCTCCGCAATCCACAGTCGTTCTCAGTGAGCCATCCCACTGCCTCATCTTGGGGTGCCGCCACAGGGATGCTTCGCATGTCCCCAGCTCCAGCAATAGTCCAGGGCTGGCTTTCTTTGCTCTGACTCACACAGGGTCAAGACTGCCTACTGTTTCCTCACAGGCTCCTTGCATCTGGCCAACCTTCAGTTGGCTGATGCCTTTTCCGTTGACCACACCTGAGGGGGGCCTTGAGCTGGAAAACAATTTCCACTCCCAGTATCCTTTCTTATAGAAGAGAAGTGTGCTATTCTGGAGGCTAACTGCACTCCCGAGACAAGCACAGGCTTGCTCGCCTGCCCTGCTCTATCACTGTGCCTTGATTAACTTTTATTCAGGCATAAAAACATTCTCAGGGCTCACGATAATTGAATTTGACTCCCTGTCACGTTTTTCCTTCGAAACACTGGCTTAACCCACATCTTACCACATTCACGTTTGAGTGACCCGGAAAAGTACTTTCATCAGCTTTTGCCTTTCTTGAGTCCTCTTCAGCTTTAGCCCCTTACAAGCCTGATGTACATGCCAATCTAAGTCATTCAGTCTCTCTTCTCTCAAAAATTGTGTGCCGTCATGGGGTTCAGCAAAACCTCCATACTTGTCCCTAGGTCCCTGTTGCATCAACCCCTTCCGTGGCTGTTCTGTGAATACAGTCCTATCTGGCCCAGTGAACTTGGCATCAAAGACTGCCCGTGTCTGCTCATTTTTGTCATTAATGCTGGTCTTTCTATTGTCTTCTGGTCCTTGATGTTCATGGGGACATCAACTAGCAATAATCAAGTGTGTCTAGGGACTCTTATAAGTTAGTTGATCCAGGAATTATTTCCCTCATTATGTAGCCTTTGACCTATAGAAAGATGTATAGTTCATAGTCAGGCTATTCCCTGATTATAGTAGTTCACTTTACTGGATCATTATTAAGCCCCCTCTGTATTCTTCATGGTTTCCCTTCCTCTGTATTAAAGGTCAGATCTGAGAGGTATCTTGCATCATGTCTCTCTCATTTTGTCCCTCCTCATTGTCCAATTCTTCCCATGGAATCCAAGTTTAGGTGTCCCAAGAGAGGCTTTTTGCACAGATATAACTGGTACTCTTTTCTTTATGTCCCAATAAGAAATGGCAAGCCAATTCCTCTATCCTATTCAGCTCCCCCCTTTATCCCTCTATCCTTTGTTTTTCCTGCTAATTCAGTGGCTTGTACAAGGGATAGCATCCACATGGTTTCTCTTGTATTTCCTTCATTTCCTATACAATCATTCTAGTTTTGAACTCAATTACTTGTCTTATTGCCCGGAGCAAAGGCCACACAACTGATACCCCAGCTTAAATAAGACCCTGTCCCATATGTGTTAATTTTGCGGATTATAATATATCCTTCATCAGCCATTTGAGGGACATCTCACATGATAGAAAACATTCATCAAGGAGTTTTGCATTCCATACCACATAAGAAAAGCAGTCACTCTGGATTCTCCAGGGGAACCCCACCTTCCAATACAGCAGCCTTGGTTGCATGTCATTTCACCCAATAGCAGGGACAGGGCAAGGGCTACTACAGCAGGAAGGCACACCATTCCATACCCCACCAGGAAGGACAACCGTGCCAGGATTCTCCACACAGACACTCCACCCTCAGATGGCTTAGCTTCATTTGCATGTCCCATAGCCCGCAACAGAGGCAATGGTGCTTCTCCTTATGTTTATCTATGTTGTATCTTGGATTAAGAGGACAAGTGTTGAGTAAACATTTTCTGGGAAGATAAGCAAATATCTGTCCCAAAGTAATGATTCTTCCCAGGCCCAGCTTGTTGCATCAATGGGTTTGATTAGGATTGTTTACAAGAGCATAGGTCATTTACTGGAATATGGGGAGCTTATAAGCAGCTACGCCACTGAAGAACCCTCCTCCTTCCTAGCAACTGTTAACTGCTTACAGAATTTTGGGAAGGGCTAGGACCTCTTCAGCCTCCTCCCTCTATGAAGGAGCATCAGTGAGCCCAGTCTTATGCTATCTTTAGTAATACCAGCTGCTGATCATTCAGGAGGGTAATGACCATGCCATACCCAGAGGACAGCATCCAACAACACTGACATTTTCTGTCTATTCTGGTACTGCCTCAACATATAAAAGGATCAGTTATCCCTGACTAAAAATGAGGGAAGGATTCTATAGGAAATAATAACTGGGTTCAAATTTAAAAGACAAACAAGAGCTAATAGAGCAGAAGAGGCAGAGAGCAGTTCCTTGCTGAAGGAAATCAACATGGATCTGCAGTAGTAGGAAACAAACAGACTATAGCGTGAAGGCAGAGAATAGGGAAGGTTGTTTTGTAGAGCTGCTGAAAACATGAGAACTCATTTTGCAGTTTCCCATAAGAGAATAAAAGTGTTTCTATCTTTAACTGATATGTAATGAAGTTAGATGTTTCCTTTTATAATAAAATTTAGCTCCATTGCAGTGTTTTGAACTATATCGTAAATGGATTTTGGGAATTATATGTATGTTCAATGTGTTACTTTAAGAAAAGTATTGAATTAAAATAAATTTTGAATAGACTCAAATGGGTTTTTTCCCATCTAAGTCCCTTTTTTATAATTTGTGGTTGTCTTCATTTTTGTATCCTTTGCAGTGTTCCTGTGCCTCAGCCACATTCTTCTGCACAAACTAAAGGAAGCAGACACCACCCAACCTCATACCGTGGTATGTTGCTTTTTTGTTATTATTCCTTTTAAAAGTTATGGAACTTGGTCGCTATTCTTTAGTACTTGATTTTGCTAACAAAAGTGTTTCATATTGGTTTAAGTCGTCGTGTAAAGTACTGCTTGGTACTGCGATCATGTCTGCCAGACTCCGGGAATAGGAATCCAAGCATGGAGATAAAATGCTTATAAACTATCAGTGTATAATTAACAGAAATTACTTGTAGTATTCTATAGCACATTAAGGTAATGATAGTTGACATTTAATTGTGTATTTTATAATACCTAGACAAGATTACAAATGGATACAAATACCAATGCTAAGTTTATGAGGTGATAGATCTTCCAGTTACCCTGATCTCATAATTACATATTGTATACATATATTTAAGCATTTCATTAACCCTATAAATGTGTATGATTGTATGTTAATCCATTTTTCTTAAATTTATCTTATATGAACAGCTACCATGTATTAAAATGATAAGATATGCTTTAAGGGGGATCCACCAACAACATAGAGATGCTATTGGCTAGGAGGAATAGATTAACCCTGGACACAATGCAGATAACACTGACAAGCAGAAAGGAAGGTTAAGATCAATACCTTCAGGAAGGAGGACAAGTATGTGTGCAAGGGAAGTGGTCACAATCTCATCAGAGTCTTATGACCATGGCCGTGTGATAAGTTTGTGCTTGTGATCCTCTCTGCTGCTAACAGTGAAGTGCTTGTTCAACTAAAAGAAATATGTATACGTCTATATACCTAATATGTTTTAAACTCATCTTAACGAGTGATGTTCCAAGAAAGAGCAACAGTTGAAAGCAAAAAAAAATGTATTCAAAAAGGCAGTTGAACACATGAGTATATATAGTATTATTCATCTTGCTAGAAAAATTCAGATGTCACATTATTTGATTACTACCCAACAATATTTTCTGAATATCTGTTATAAACTACAGTTCTAGAAAAGCTCACAAAATATGTCCCTTGTTAACAAAAGAAACTGTCTCCCATTTAGCACATGCAGCAGCATGCACCCTTCTGTCCATTTGGAGGTGCTCTTGTACACACACTTAAAATGTGACCGGTGTCACTACAAAACAAAAGCAGTTTTTCTCTACCAAAGAGTGACTTTCATCAGCATTTTTGTCTTAATGTTCCCTTTTAATTTTGACCTGCTATCCAATAGCACACTACTAATAAAAGATCATTTGTATCAATAAATGGGCTAATGATTATCTGAGTAAAAGTAACCAGAAGAAAATAGTTATAAGTTTGTTCCTTTAGTAACAACAAACAAGTTTTTTTGGTTGACATGGGAGTTTAGGTTAAGTAGGCTTGATTTAAATTGACAGTCAGAATAGGTAAATTTAAGTAAGTCTTTGTTTTGTTTGTTTGTTTGCTTCTTTGTTTTAGTTTTATTTTAGCATGTAGGGTACTTTCAAGGGAGGAGAGGTCAAATGCAGTGTTCTAAGCAAGTCCTCTTTCCTTTCTTTGCTATTGTGTCAACTAGGTTGAGCTTAGGGTTGCTTCTGAACTGATTTTATGATATAATTTCGTACTGGTAGAATGACGTTAGAATTATTTGCTTTCAGTGGAATCCTAAACCAAGGGATTGTCTCTCTGGATTTAACATTTTAGCCTTTTAACTCCATCTTGCCTTTTGGTGTGAATTTTATTTCAGTCCTCCACCCAGACAAAGGTGAGACTGTCATTTTGTGGACATTTCCTTTTTTAAATATTATGTGTCAGTAAACTGGTCCATAGAGTTTTTTGGGGGGTATAGTTTTTATTGATTGTTACATGATACGAAATGTTGATATTTTGTGTGTGTGTATATATATATGATCTGTGAGTGTGTGTATGTGTGTGTGTCCTCATGAGTGTGTGTACAGATATATTTGTGCTATAGCATGTGGAACTCGGAGCAGAACCTTGAGTGTAAGTCCTCACCATCTGCCATGAGGCAGGATCTCTTCATTGTTTGTCGCTATGGACACCAGGCTATCTGGGTTCTGAACATCCCAGGCATCTCCTCTTTCTCCTCCCATATCATCATACAAGCACTGGGATCACAGACACATGCTTTACTTGGTTCACGGAATTGGAAATTTTATTTTCACATTTGTATGGGTAGTGCTTGCCTCGCTGTTTTAGTTAGGGCTTCGATTGCTGTGGTAAAACACCATAACTGAAAGTTGGGTAGGAAAGGATTGCTTCATCTTATAATTTGTAGTCTAGCATCTGGAGTAGTTGGGGCAAGAGCTGGTGCAGGAGCCGTTGAGAAATTCTGCTTACCGACTTGGATAGCCTGACTTCTGAAATCACCCAGGACCGCCATCTCAGGGGTGGCACTGCCTAATGTGATCAAGGTCCTCCCACATGATCATCAACCAAGATGACGATCTACAGACTTTCCTAGAGGCCAATCCTATAGAGGCATATTCTCAAGTAAGATACCTTCTTCCAAGATGACCCTAGGTTCTGTCTAGTTGACCAGAAGAAAACAACAATCTAGCCAGCACACACACTGAAGCAACTCTCTAGCTGAATTTGGGAGTATTTATGCCTCTCTATTCTTAAAATAATCCTTTTAAAATGCTTATTTCCAGAGGCTGTGAGCATAGCTCAGTAATTGTTCTACTTTTTTGTCTGTTGCTCTGATAAACACCATAAACAAAAGAAACTTGGGGTTTCAGCTTACAGGTTATAATCCATCATGGAAGTAAACCATGGAAGTAGCTCAGGATAGGTACCTGGAGGCAGGGATTGAAGCAAAGACGAGGAAGAAATGCTGCTCACTAGCACACATCCTTGCTGTCATTCAATACCTTTCCTATAAAGCTCAGAGCCACCTAGCTGACCCTTCCAAAATCAGCTAGTAATTGAGATGTCCCACTGACAAGCCTGCAGGCCAGCTTTAGTACATTTGAAATTTTTCCACAGCAAAAATAAATTTAAAACATTAAAATACGTGGGGCGATGGTGGAGCATGCCCTTAGGAGCAAAGGCAAGCAGATCTCTGTGAGTTCTAGGCCAGCCTGGTCTACAGAGCGAGTGCCAGGACAGAGAAACCTTGTCTTGAAACAAACAAACAAAAAAAAACCAAACAAACAAAAGAAAAAAATCAAAAAAAGAAAAACATTAAAATACTTTTGCATCTCTGGCAAACATAAGTCTAAAACTACATATTTCTGGTTGCTAAGTATATTGATACTGCATTAGTTCCTGTTTTCAAAGTTTTTCCATTCTTTAAGAAAAGTGAAAATAGGTCTGAGAAACTTGTGTCCATGTAATACCTATTTAATTCATAAAAGATCAGTGGAATTTTGACAAAGTATCAGATATATAGGCAAAGATCAATTTTAGCAGAAGTTCAAAACTAAGAAATTTCATATAATATTCAAAATACAACAGTGTTTTTGTTGTGGGGTAGTCACCAAAAAGATTACTTGGACACAGGGTTAAGCTAATAGAAATTGTTTATTGGCCAGCCAGCGACTACACTGGGTGTTTAGGATCCCAGTGTTAACCAAGCATTTCTCAGACTGAGCTTCAGGTGGAAAAGGCATTACCTGGGATGATATACTCCAGTTAACAAGAGCAGTTATCCAGAAGCACTACAGAAGTAAAAAAGCAAGGTTAGTACATTTAGAGACTTTCCCAGAACTATAGACTTTGATGGAGTAGGTCTTTGTTTTCAATTCGGCAGGAGGTACTGTGTATGTGCTGAGTTTTATGGCCTGAATGGTATTTCCATCATGGAGTCAGTTGTGCTAGTCTGAAGGCCTTCTAAGGTCTGGGGCACTGTTAAAGTTTTGTTTCTTTTTGGTTTATTGAGATAGGATTTCTCTGTGTATCTTTGGAGCCTGTCCTGGAACTTGCCCTGTAGAGCAGACCTCTCTACCTCACAGAGATCCACCTGCCTCTGCCTCCTAAGTGCTGGGATTAAAGGCATACACCACCACTGCCTGGCTCTGTTAAAGTTTTGGTGTGTTGCAGCATAAAACAAAAGGCAGGGAGTAGTCTAATAACTTAAGAAATGTCAAAAGACTAACTCAATGAATGACATGTGATATTATATGAAGAATCTTGGACTTTAGAGACATCAAGACAAAGACTTGGAAGATAATAAACAGAAAGAATGTCCTGGTTTTGTTTTCATTTTAAGACTTGACTGTGATATCTATAGGGAGAGCATGTGTAAAGAAAACCATTCTAGAGGCAAAGAAGCCGGGAAGTGATGATGAAGGCCAGGAACATATAGTAGTAGTTTTTAAAAAATGAAGAACAAGAAATGAAATGAGACATGCTTTTGAAAATATAATTGATTCAATCTAGATGGTGATGTAAATTAAAAATAGAAAAGCGATTAGTGACTGTTAAGCCTCGGGTACCCACATTTTGTCTCAACTGAAGAGGCTGAGAACTCCCATCAGACATAAGCAACTGTGTTCCTTTGCAAGGTTGAAATAATGACATACCATACACTTCATGATTAGAACTGTCAACATTTGTTTACGCACAGTCTGGAGACAAAGCTTTGGCATAGGTTAGGTTTCTTCTGAGGCCCCTCTCCTTAGCTTGTGCAAGGCCATCTTGTCTCTCTTTATACTGTTTCTACCATGTGTATACATTCATACCTGTGTGTCCAAGATTTCTCTTCATGTAAGGACACCAATCTGAATTAGGACCTAAACTGATAGTTTCATAGTCAGTCACCTCTTTAAAGACCTCATCTCTTATGTATGTTCATGATGTGATGTACTGACAGAATTTAAATATATGAATTTGGATGTGATGCAGTTCTGTACATAAACATGTTTGTACAGGTATTTCTTGTATACTGAGTTTGATTTCTTCACATATATGCCTAGAATTGTGATACCTGAATTGTAAAATAGTTTTTTCTTTTATGAACATTCTCAGTTCCACACTGGCTGTATTATAGTCCCACCAAAGAAGAGTTCCTACCTCCCATTTTCATTAAACATTTATTGTTTATTTTCTTAATGATTGCTGTTTTGAGTGTGGTGAAATGGAATCTCAGTGTGTCATTTATTTGTATTCTCTGATAGGTAAAGATGTTGAATATATTTTCATATATTTATTGTCTATTTTTACTGGTTTTGGGAATTGATGTTCCCTTAATTTGCTCAATAATTGATTTTGGTTCATTGATTAGAGTATCTTTATGGTTTCTGGATGTGTAGTAAAAGGGAGCGGCAGGCCTGTTTTTCATCCCACCCGGCTCCCTGGCTAGCTTTACACCCGAAATAATTACACAGAAACTGTATTCTTTTAAACACTGCCTGGCCCATTAGTTGTAGCCTCTTATTGGCTAACTCTTACACATTTATTTAACCCATTTCTAATAATCTGTATCTCACCACAAGGTCGTGGCTTACCAGGAAGATTCTAACCCACCTCCATCTCAGAGAAGAGAGCCATGTAGTCTGCCTGCCTCTGCTTTCTTTCTCCCACAATTCTGTTCTGTCTTCCCCGCCTACCTATGTTCTGACCTATCAGGCCAAGCAGTTTTCTTTATTAATTAACCAATGAAAGCAACAGATAGATAGAAGATCCTCCTACATCATGGATGTGAATCCACAAGACATGGTTTCTTGTGCCTTGATCCTGCCAACTAGCTAAATTACTTTGTTACCTGAAATTACTTTACTCTTGATTCTGACAGATTTCCTATACATGGCATCATATAATCTGCAAGTAAAGGTAATTTTGTTGTTGTTAAGGGTAACGTTGTTGCTGTTTTAAAGATTTTGAATTTTATAGTGTGAAGCCAATCTGAAATAGAATGTTGACATTTGAAATGTTTTAAAGAATTCTTTATTTTTATGTGTATGGATGGGTATTTTGCCAGCATGTAGTTCTGTGCAGTGTTTGCAGTGTTTGTAAGGGCTAGCAGAGGCCATTGATTCCCCTGGAACTGAAGTTACAGATGGTTGTGAGCTGGCATGTGGATGCTGGCAATGGAAGCTGGATCCTCTGGAAGAGTAGCTAGTGTTCTAAACCACTGCTCCAGCTCCCAGACAGGCTAATCTTACTTTACCTTTCCAACTTGAGGCCATTCATGATAGGAGAGTTCAGCCAATTACTTTCTGTTTGTGGGGCGTGTCGCCCTTAGGCTAAAGCTTGCCTATAAACCTACAAGCGCTCCCACTAGCTCTCTCTCGCCTGGTTCCTGCATCCGGACGGATCGTTTGTATTCTGGTGTAAGCTGGTATAAGTCTTACTTCTGTTTATTAAAGCTGTATATTTTGTATTAAGATAGTCTGGGGACTTTTCATTACCAATCGCCCTGCAGCTTCACATTCATCTCTTCCTTTCATTTATTTTTATCTTTAAATTTCGTGTTATATTTATTTACTTATGTAGAGTGTTAAATGGCACATGTGGGTGTGGCTGTGTGCCACTATTCATATGTACACCTCTGGCAACTTCTAGAAGTAGGCATCTCCTTCTAACATGTAGGTCTCGGGGATTGAACTCAGGTCATCAGACTGGGTAGCACTTGCTTTTGCCTTTACCTTACCAGCCCTCTCTTTCTCTTTCACTCCTCCAACCTCTCTTTCCCATTTTCTTTCTTAAAGTGCAGTGTTGAGTAGCAATACGGAAAGTGAGAAACCTTATTTTGTGCAAGATCACAGGGAAATTTTTTTTCACATGAGATCTAGCACGTTCAGGAGGGTACAATCATAGACAGGGAGAAGTCTTTCTTATTTCTCCATTAAGTAAAGATTTTTAATTTTTTATCTTTTATAAATTACCATGGCCAACTCAAGCAAGTTCCCATCTATTCCTAGTTAGCTAAGTGCTTTTTATCATGAGTGGGTGTTGGATTGTGTTAAATGCCTTTTGACACCATTTGAGATAATTACTTGGTATTGTCATCATTGAATTAATGTGATATATTTCTTTCCTTATGTTGAACAACTCAAACGGTTCTCAAATAAATCCTACTTGGTTGTGGCATAGAATCTTGTTAATAATCTGTTGAAACTGATTTGCTGATATTTTTTCATAATTCTGCTTCTGTATTAAGGGACATTGCTAAAGGATATTTGTATGTAATTTTTTGAGTGCCTTTATCAGACTTTGGTATTGGTAATACTGGCCTTGTAGAATGGGAAAGGAAGTGTTCCTACATTTTCTGTTTTATAATCATTTGGAGGATTTGTGCTTAATTTTTTTATACCGGGGACTAAGCCTAAGGCCTCTCACATACTAGCCAAGAACTCTACTGAGCAATACCCTAGCTCAGTTCTGCTGTAAATGTTTTCTAGAATTCACCAGTGAAGCCATCTGTTTCTGTATTGTCTTGTTGATGAGGTTTTGGTTGTTAGTTCAGTCTCGACTTGTTAAAAGTCTGATGAGAATGTCTATGTCTTGTGGGTAAACTTAAGCCATTTATCTGTTCCTACGAAGCATCTGTTCTATTATCTGGATTATTGGCACATAATCACTTATAGTATTCCACTGCAATATTATTTCTCTAAAGAATCACACTTTCATCTCTGAGTTTAGTCATTTGTGGCTTCTCTTTTTGCTTAGCCACGCTACCTAAGGACAGTTTTCTAGATGAAGAGATAGTTTACTTGGTAAAGTGCTTGTTATGCAAGTATGTGAACAAAGGTTTTCATTTCTAGCACACACATTAAAAAAAAAA